AATACATTATTGTAATTAGATGCTGGATTTATGCACTCTCATGTTATTAAACGAGTGACAAAGTCACACTGAGCCCAGTTTTACTGTTTGAGCTGATTGTGCCTGTGGATGTTAACAGATAACAGCTTTAAATGAAAAAGGACTCAGTTTATCGATAACTGTGTTTTCCATAATTTACTGCAATATAATCAGATTAAAGGCATCATTTGTCAGCAGTGGTGAAGAGTAAAAATCTCCTTTGTGTCCAGGAAACCACAGAAACAGAGCGCGTTGCAGATTATTTTAATGGGTCCAATTAAAATGTGTCTGGAGGTTTATGAACTCCAGCCTTCAGCTTATTGTTTGAGCAACTGATAAAAGTAGCCAACAACACATTCATGTAATATTTCTAATTATAAAATGACTCATGCTGCTAGTTCATAGATGCTGTTCTCAAAATCCTTTAGTTTCAAAGATCAACACATTTTATTCAAGATAGCAGTTTGTTCACAGCATCTATAATTTTAGTTTTTCTGTCTCCGTGTGTTTTCCTTGCAGTGTTGACAGGAATCAGCTGCTGAGGTTCATCCACTGCTGTGCTGCCTGTGACGTCCAGCAGGAGGCAGCGTCAGGCCTGCTGAGGACTCTGCAGCACAGCTTGGATCTGTCCTGCTCCTCCTGTGTGGAGCTACCAGAGGAGGATCAGCCTGAGCCTCTGAGTCTGACCGCTGATGACTGCAGGGCCGTCTCCACCATCCTGACACACAGCAGCCGGGACACACAGCTCGACCTGCGAGACTGTGAGGTGGAGGACAGCGTGCTGGACCTGCTGTTTCCTGTCCTCCACAGGGTCCGCCTCAGGTGGGAAAGACCACAGAAGAGTCTAAATCAGTGAGAAGCTCGTTCACACTGGTGTTGATGCATCCTGACATTTTCTCTTTGCTCTGTTTGTCCTGTTTAGAGTCAGTAAAACTGTCCTCCTGCAGCTGCTGTCTCTGGTTCCTGTGAACAGTGAGAGGGACACCGTGAGGCGGGCGGTGTCCCTGTGTGCAGCCCTGGGTGGAGAGCTGGATCTCAGTCACAGCACGCTGGATCAGAGGGTCTGTGGGTCTTTGGTCCAGATGCTGGACTCGTGTGAAGGGCTGACAGAGCTGGACCTCAGTCACTGTCAGCTCACTGACCAGCTGCTGCTCCCTCTCATCACACATCTGCACAAAGTCCAAGTCCTGGAGTGAGTGTCACACACTGATCCTTCTCTGGGAGGCACCAATAACCATCAGCCTGTTCACACACACTACAATAATATGATGTGCAGCGATGACTTAGAGCCTCTTGTTGTGTTTGTGTTACAGTCTGAGTCACAATCAGATCACTGATGCTTCGACTGATGTGTTACTGCAGCTGCTCTCCATCAACCCCTCCATCGACTGTGTGCGGTGAGCCAACATGAATCAGTCCCCATCAGTGAAGGAGTTTCTCCTCAGACTCTCAGAGGAATCATTCACAGTCTGAGCTCACATGGATTCATGTTGTTCTGAGTGAATGAGTGACGTCTGCTCTCTCTGCTTTGGTCTCTTTCTAGACTCTACAGCAACAACATCGTGCACAGAGCAGCCTTCAAGGAACACAAGCAGTGTGAGATCTGGTGAAGCACTCGTCACCATCATCATTATCATCATCGTCATCATCAGGGAGCTGTGGTTTTATGGTCTCATAATTGTTTCTTGCTAATCTGTAATGTACAACAGCAATAATGGTTCAGTAAGCTTTAATAGCTACTTTAGAATGTTTTATTTTGCTTTATTGTATTTCTTTATTATGTCATTATTAAAAATAGTATTTGTATAGAGACGAGCACACCTCAGACTGTTTCTGAAAGTTCTGCAGATTTTTGTTTTATGGAGCTCTGATTGAAGCTATGCAACAGTCATCCTAATGTTTACACATCAGATTGTTTTATCGTGATTAAATTATTTTCGCACAGTGAAAAAATAAAGTGAGGCTGTAATTGTTACATTAAAGTTGTGAGTCAACTTTGTTTAGTTTTGTTACTTTTGCAAAAACTGTACTGATGTTGGACTTTATGTGTCAGTCAAAACATAAAGATGTCATAATGATTTTCACAGTAGTCAAGCAATAACATTACAGTCAGGTGGCATGACAACAAAGATACCAGTGAGGGTCATTTCTTTATTTTAAATGAACTAATGCAAGAAATAAAGGTGTGGTGTAAAACACGGTGCATATTTAGATTTTATGAAATACATGTGAAAATCAAATCAGTTTACAAATATCACTTTTAATCATGTAAATGTACAAAATGTGATTTTGACTGAAAACAGTCTGTCTTTCAAAATAGTGCACTAAAATTTCACACAACTCTTACATTTTTTGATACGGGAATTATAATTATATAACAACACTGAGTGGTTTTATCATCATATACATATTAAGAGAGAGTATGTCATCACACAGCACTGAGCAGGTTAAATGAGATTAATATTGTTTAGCACTCAGGATGCAGAGTGGGTTGTCTGTTAACATTATGATTTGAGCATGCCTCAAATCATAATCTGTAGTTCAGTCTATGCGCACACATCTGGACAGCAACACAGTTTTTGTAGTTTTGTCTCAAAGGATTTTAATTCAGCCGATTAATATGAAATTGAAGTGTCGTCTTTTAGCTTGAATTCCAGGGATTTAACAGAAATGTTGTACTAACTATTCAGGATTTAGAGCCATTTTTTATACATAGTGCCCCATTTTCAGGCTCAAAAGTCATTGGACACGTATAAAGGCTGTTTGTAATACCAAATTCCTCCCTTGAGATGCTTACGTGCTCTCTTGGATGAGATGTTGGGTTATATGTTGTGAAATTGTTTTTCTTAACCATGGAAATAATTTTGTCATCATGCACTTTTCCTGTCTTCTGTGATCTTTCATGTCTTTTTGCTGAGCTGGCAGTCCTTCTTTTTAAAAATGAACCAGACTGTTGATTTGGCCTCTTCTGAAGGTTTTGCTTTCTCTCTAAACAGGCTTTTAGAGTTAACTATAGCTAATAGCTGAATATGGCTTAACTCACATTCACATGAAATTGCTTTTCGGTCAGTTGTTCAAATAATTTTGAGCCTTTTGAAATATGGACTGTGCATAAAAATGGCCGTTTGTACAGTGTGTTGGTTTCTGTGTAAGCTGTGGGCTCAACTAATGCATCACACATGGTATATTTCTTGTTCCATGGATTTAGCTCAAGATGTAGCGCAGGCATCTACTAATCTGAAAGTTGGTGACTGCTCCAGTCTGGATGCCAATTATTTTTGGGCAAGCTACTAACACCAAGTCGCTCTCTGATGCATCTATTGGAGTTTGCATGTGTGTGAGTGTTAGATAGAAAGCACTTAAACATAGAAAAAACTGCTTGTATAAACAGAGGTTAATGGGACATGTTGTATTAAACACTCTGATGCCCCATGAGATTAGAAAAGTGCTACATCAGTCCATTTACCCACTGTTAGACATCAGTCCCATGAGAGTTTCTGTTAGTGTTGACAAAATGTCTTCCTTTTCATTTCATGTTTAATTCTACCAAATTAAACAAATATATCTATAATAATTTTACAGTTTTATAGTACAGCCTCATTTCCACGAAACTTTTGACGCTGTGGAAAATATAATAAAAACAGAATGCAATCATTTGCAAATCTGCTAAACCCATATTTTATTCACAACAGAACATCACATGTTTCTACGGACATATTTTACTATATCATGAAAAATGTGAACCTAATACAAACAAATAAAGCTCAACTGTAAAGTTGGAGCAGCACAAACTGTGTTTGGTATTGTCACAGGAATTTGCATGTATTTGGTTGATGATGTTAGATTATAGAAATATCTGTGAATAAATAACATTAAATTCACTTTGAAGTGATTTTCACACTCTTTTATTAAGCTATGGGAGAATACCAGAGATAAACACACTGTAACCTTTAATGTTTAGGTGTGTGCAATATTTCAGATCTGTAATGTGCAGCTGCCATGTCAGAAATAAACATCAGTATTGACATTGCACTGAGCAACAATATAGTGTTTAACTGAGCTGATAGATTTCTTGTCCTGCTTTTTTATATGTGATGATCAAATCACAATTGTATTTGCAGCACAAGTGTTAAATCTTACTATTTATTTATATGTTCTTTATACTACTGTGTTTGCAGTAGGAAGTGCTCAATCAGTTAATTTCATACAGGAGAACAGATGCTACCTTTCAGGTGAGCATACACAAACCCTGAATCAGAAAGTCTGACTTACCCAAAAAGTTCATATCCTTATCTAACAGGGTGAGGCTGAATTTAAAAACACAAAGGGGTGAACTTAGGGAGGCAGCTTTATTGCGCTGTGGAAAAAATTGAATTCAGGATATAAGAAACAAAATCCAAAACTAGTAGTTGCGAGGAAACCGAGGAACACGGAGAAACACACAGCTAGTGGGACGACATGACGACGGGCCAGGGAAACAGAGGACTCAAATACACAAAGGATAAGGAGGGAATGAGGAACAGGAGGGAAACACAGCTGGGACTAATCAGACACAATGAGACAGGAAGGAAGCAAAAATGAAGACAGGGCAAAGCACTATCAAAATAAAACAGGAAACATACATAAACTCAGACTCAAGACATGCAAGCACAGTGACTCGGGAGACAATAATAAACATGGAAACAGTACTTAACATGCATGGAGGCAAAAAGTGAAACAGACTAGATAAAAAACTCAAAACCAGAAATACAAGTGACTAAACTAGGAACACTACTGGAACAAGTAGGACAAACAAGGAAACTGAACCATAAATAATACTAAATCCCACATTATAAATGAAATCAGAAAAACACAAATACTGGGTCACTGATGCAGTATCATGAAATTTACTTCTTTATAAATCTGAATAACAATGTTATACTTCAGAAGCTTTGTCTCCAAATTTTGATGCTATTATTATGGTTATTTAATGAAGAGGTATCATATAAAGATTATGAGCTGAACTAAACTTCAGAGAAACATAACATACAAAAAAAAAAGAATCCTGGGATAATAATAGATTCCATTTTTCAATAACTGAAGTTTCCATCATCATTTAAACCATCAACTGATTGAATCCATGAATCTGAAAACATGTTTTTGACTGTGAGAGACAGACATGTACCGACTGAAATGTTCAACAAGACTATTCATACTAAACTACACACAGACACACTGAAGAACCAAATGAGACCGTAAACCCAGGATAAAGAGGTTCAGTGAATGTGGTGTTGAAGGTGTGGAGGTGGATCAGAGTGTTAGAGACTCTGTAGAAGGACAGAGTGCCAGCAGGACAGTCCACATACACTGCTACTCTCTTAGAGACAGAGGAGGAGGAGATGGATGTTTTTTGCTTATTGTGCCACGCAGAGTAACCGCAATAATCAGAGCAGCTCAGGCTCCAGGACTGATCATTTTTTCCAAACACACAGCCTGTCCTCCCCTTCCTTCTGATTGTTCTGTAACTCACTGATATATAAACTCCTCCTCTCCACTCGACCTCCCAGTAACAACGACCAGTCAGACCATTTCTATACAGCAGTTGAGGACAGATGCAATCAAATCTGTCTGGATGATCAGGATATGGAAGACCCTCCCACACAAACATCACCTTCCTGTTGTTTTCAGACAGTTTGAGGTTTGTGTGTACTGTGTTTGTGTCGATTGTGAGTTGACAGGAATCTGATGGAGAGAACAAACAAAGTCCAGCTGCAGTTATTGGTCCGTCATCTGTTCATTGATTGACACTTTGATGATGACTCCTGACATCAGAGATGTGAATGAGTGATGTGACAGTTTGAAGATGGTTGAATGTGTGCTGCTTTGTTTTCATGAATCACATTAAAAACACACTTACACTTCCTCAGACCTGGTCTCAACCATCGGACTCCAGCAGGCTCCACCCTGAAAGGAGGAGGAGGGTCAGACCAGCACAGTCTCTTTCAGCAGGCACACATGCACATTACATCACTCTCATACACATGCTGTTAGACACTGATAAAGGAACAGTCCAACATATTTATAAAAATTGCAGGCTGAGCAGACATTTTGACTTTTTTGTTGTAAGCATGTTATTTACTTTACTCTTCAGTTTGTGTGAAACGTATTAAAAAAAAAAAATAATCCCCAAAATTAACTCACGGTGATGTGGTCTGAAAGGTATATATTATGGGCAGCACAGCTTCACCATATAGATTCAGCACGGCCTTATAGATTTAAAATTATTATAATTTATTTATATCAAAGTACTGATACATTTTTGTTTGTTTCATAAAATAGTTTGTTTAATAAATGAGTCCATAATTTATAAGACAAACAAATAGACTAAACAAGTGATTTAACCAGTGATTAAATTAATATCAGTTCAACTGAATTATATTTTTAAAGTGCCAGTCATGACAGCTGCCTGTAGGCACTTTAGTTGCTAAATAAAAAAACAATCACACAATCCTTCATGAGCATTTTTAGAAAGAAGCACTCCACCTTTAGAGCAAACAAATTTGGCCAACGTTACACTGCATGAGCCAGCGTGTCTGTGAAGGTTGTGTGAAGCATCTTCTTGGAGAGTCACACATCCACATGTTGTTATTTATTTATTAAGAACTAGGGTATGTAAAATTTGAATCACGGTCATGTTGGTATTTTCTGTCTTCAGTAAGATTTTTAAAACAGGCAAACACAGTTGTTTAATAAATGGCTTTCCCCAACCAGTAACTATGAGTGAAAGATAAGTGCTCCCTTATTCTTTTAAGGGAGCACAGTTTCAACAGTAACGGTCACAAACAGCAGCATAGCAGTGCAATGCATTTTAATTAGATGAAGTCAAATGCTGATGCTTAATTATTTCACGTGACTAATATGTTAGTTTAACTCTTTTGATGGAGCTCATACATGTTTGATGTCCAAATATACACATCGAGCAATGAGGCAAGTGTACCAGAGGGAATAAAGGACAGAAAGAACTGTCATCTATTACTGTTATATCAGAGACTGGCTGTGGCTGCAAAAGACTTCTCTATACCTAAGAGTGTGGAGTCCCCAGGATGGATCCTTCAGTATAGCGGACAGCTGCTTTACTTGTTCCTGTCCTGGATGATTGTAGCTCAGGTCCAGCTCCCTCAGACAAGAAGGGTTGGAGCTCAGAGCTGAGACGAGAGAACCACAAGCTTCGTCTGTGATCAAACACCCTGACAACCTGCAGACACAAAGCATGACAGCTAATCTTCCAGAACAGCAGTGCAGTTAAAAAGAAACTTACGCAGAAAGACTATATATATATGTATATATATATATATATATATATAT